AGAGGCTTGGAAATCCGCATTTGCTGAACTTGGGACTGATGCACTAGTTTGGTGGGAGCAGGGGCCCCTCAGAGGATGCTGGAGGAGGGACTCAGAGCAGAGCCCACCCTGAGGTTTCCGTGCACAGAGGCTGGGGGGCCCTGCACCTGCTGTGGGATGGCTGGTCTCCGCACACTCAGGCCTGGGAGGCCCCAAGAACACACCTGGAGGGGGCTCTGGCTCTGAGAGAATCGCAGAGACCTGCAGACCAAGCCCAGCCCCTCCCTGCAAAGAAGTGGCCTGCGTGGCAGCCATGCACGTGCGGCTTGTGTTCACAGGACTCCCTGGGGCTGGAGGGCTCAGTGCACTGCCCCTTTTCCACTACCGTCCACCTGCTTCGCCCTCCCTCTCAGCACACCCTGTGCCATCCTGCTGCCGCCACAGAGGAGGGCTCTCTCCCTGCTCTACCCCTCCCTCTGCTGTCGCTGTTACTCAGGGCAAAGCTCACAGGGACCTCTGTTAGTCTTGGGCAGGCCCAGGTTTCTGAGTCTCAGGGCTGGGGCTCTCTCAGTATGTTAAAGTTTCAAGGGAAGGAACTCCTTATGGATGCTCAGGGAGCAGCCAGCCACCCCTGGGGTGGGGGGGAGAGGCTGAAAGGCCGAGGGCTAGCTGAGAGGGGTGGCGGTGGGAACAGAAGGTGCACTCCTTGCACACTAAGGCAGGGGACCCTGGCTTGTACACAAGGTCCATAGAGATCCCTGAAGAGACACAACTAGGGATGTACAAGGACAGGCCTGGGCTCCCAGATGCCCCGGGAATCGCCCTCCCCGCCTGCTCCCCAGGCCCAGCACTCACTGTCCAGAGCAGGTCCTGGTACTGCACCATCATCTGCACCACCTCTGCCGCCCCCTCTGCCAGCTGCTTCTCCTTGCCCTTGAGGAGTCTCGGGAGGCGCCCTTGGTGCAGGAAGAGATTAGGTGCCATCACCGTGGAAACGTTCCACAGAGTCATCTTGTTGTGCTGTTCCCGGGCCACCACCTTCCTGAGGAACTCCAGGAGTGCCTGGAAAGGGCACAGAACCATGGAAACCTCAGCGCCTCCCTGGTACCTTCCTGCTTCCCCAGAAAACCCCCAGGCAAGACACGGGCACCCCGGGAAGGAGCCAGAGGCGAGGCAGGCAGAGGAAGCAGTTTCGGTTTCAGCTTGGCCTCCAGCCCCACTCGATGACCTACTCTGCCAAATGTGACCAAAACCTCGTCCCTTCCCTGCACCCTCAAGATCAGTGAGACATTGGGCCAGGCTTCGACTTCCAGGCAGAAAGTGCCCCAGGTCTGGAAAGCAGGACTATTCTTGTGAGCAAGGAGCCCGAATCTACCCAAAATGCAAAGGAATGATAGGGAAGGAGAGGTTCTGGGAAAGAAATGGGGGAAGGTGATCACAGCTGCTATTTACTAAGTATTCTTTGTGTCTGGTCCTTTTGTTAGCATCTTGCATGCATTTATAATAATCTTCAATCCTCACAGGGATTCTGTAAGGTAGGCGTTTACCAGTGTACCCATTTGACGCAGAAGGAAACTTTCTTGGAGAATATGCCTAGGGCCACATAGCCCATAGAGCAAAGCGAGGTGGGAGCATGAAGGATCAAAGGGTAAATGGATGGATGACAGGAGGGTGGACAGGTGGGAGGAAGGAAAGCAGGAAAGAAGATGAATGGATAGATGGAAAAGAATGGATGGATGGGGTCCAGCAGGTGGTATGGTGGTGAAGGCACTGGACTTCCATGTGAGGTTGACCATAGTTCAAGTCCCAGGCCCAGCAGCTTGAAACTCATGCCAGGCACATGTGCATGTGTGCCCAAAGTCCTGAGAGACTAGAGAAGGGATTGTGGTGTGGCCATACCCCCTGGGGTTGATTTCTCACTTTCTCTCTGTCTGTCTTTGTGTGTGTCTCCAGTGAGCAAATATACCCCTATTGCAAAAATCTCTCTCTCTAAAAAAAGAGAAAGAAAGAAAGAAAGAAAGAAAGAAAGAAAGAAAGAAAGAAAGAAAGGAAGGAAGGAAGGAAGGAAGGAAGGAGAATGGACGGGTGAATGGAGGGAGGAAAGAAGAACGATGGATGGATGAAGAGAAGGAAGATAGAAAGGATGACTAGAAGGAGGTGAAGAAGGAAGGAGATGAGTGGGTGGATGGATGGGTACAGATGGAGAAAGGAAGGGAAAGGATGGCTAGAGGGAGGAGGGAAGCAGGAAGGACCCTCAGCATGGCTCTGTGATGGCCAGCACTGAGCCCGCCCCTGGCATAGCTGTTGAATGAACAAGCAGTTTGGAGCCCTGACTGGAGCATGGCACCTCACAGGTGCATGGTGGACACTGATTGATAAGAGAATGAATGGATGGATGGATGGATGGAGGAATGAATGCTGCAGTGGATCCATAGGACAAATGCTGTGAGCAAATGCTGACTGTGGTGTGTGCTGAGACGATATAGCGGAGGCAGCTCGAGGGAACTTTTACCTTCAGGGCATTTCTGTTGGGCTCTGGGAGGAGCAAGATGAGCAGGTGAAGCGCCTGTAGTCGCTGCTTCAAGTCCGGAATGTCTGTGGGGAGAAGGCGGCTCAGGGACTCTTCCACGCTGGGTCTGGCTTTGTCATAGGGAAGGATCAGAGTTGGAAAGTCCAAGAACAGCCAGGAACCCCTTTTCACAAGTCGTGGGACTTCCCAGCCTTGTCAGCTCAACAGCGCCCCAACCAGTGCTGGTGAGCAGGCTCGGCGCCTCTACTTTGTGAGTAAAGGGTAGATACTACATGTGTGCGCGTGCATGCTGAGTACGTGCACGTACATGCACACGCACCCAAATACGCAATCTGAGAACTACAGCCCGGGGTCAGAAATGCAGAAAGCCAGCAAAGCACCTTTGGGAGGGGGGATGGCTAGCTTCACCGTCCTGGTGAGAAGGTTTAATGTAATCTCTGTTTTGAGGGCTAGAAGGAAAAGTTGTCCCACACCAGGGTCAGGATCTCCAGGAAGAAGAGGGAAACAATAGTTACAGAATTCAAAGAAAGAGTTCACCAGAGCCAGCCCGAACCCATCAGCAGAGGGCTAGCTGGGGCCTGGGGATAGCTGCAAGGATGACAGAGGCTGAGCTCACAAGCATTTGTGCCATGGATCCACTGCAGCATTCATTCCTCCATCCATCCATCCATTCATTCGTTCTCTTATCAATGTCCACCATGCACCTGTGAGGTGCCGTGCTCCAGCCCAGAGGCCTGTGATATGGGAGGAAGGAAGCAAGCAGGGTCACACACTTCGGATCTTACAATACCAGGGTAAGGCCGGTGTAAACAAAGAAATAAGGAAATGAACACCTCAAGGTACCCATTTGCCAATAAAGAAAACAACACAGTAACACAGGTATCCTGCCTATGCGAGGGAGGGAGGGCTCCTCAGAAGCTCAGCTGGCTGTCAGCCAACATCTGAATGGCCAGGAAGTGGCCAACCTGGGGAGGAGACAGTGGGCTCTCTGGCCACAGAGGTGCCGGTGCAGAGCCCAGCGCACAGGACAGCATGGCAGGATGGTGAAGGAGGGCGCCAGGTGGTGGAGCAGAGCAGGCAGGGCTGGACAGAGGAAGAGGCCCTGGTTGGGGCTAAAATCTTATTACAGGTGCATCGCAGAGGCAGGAGGCAGGGCAATGATGTGGTCCAGTGTGGGTTCTAAAAGAGCTGTGAGAAGCAAAGCCTGGACCAGGACCTCTCAGGGTCCCCACCCTCGGGCCTGAGAGTGGACACTAGACTGCCTGAGCCCAGAGCTTTTTGGAGAGATTGAGAAAAATGGAAAGAGAAGAAAAGAATATTTCCAAGTCTCAAGTGTACTCTCAGGCAGGTTGCTTTCTTCTTTTGAGAAAAATAAAGTGACCCAGTTCCATGTCTGCATGCTGTGACATGTGAAGAAGTCCAGGCAGGAACATGTATCCACAGAACATATAGACAGAGAGAGGGGTCTGTGCAATGCTTGCCGACTTGCTGATGAGCACGCAGGTGGACAGGACCACGCGTGTGCCCACGGACACAGATGAATCTGATATGCTCAGCCCTGTGGATATCAAGAAGAGAAGGAACCTGGTCCTCTGGTTCATGTGAGGTCTGATAAGGTCTCTTCGCCTCGTTGTCTCACTTGACATGTCACATACACGTGCATGCATACATGCAGATGTGCGTACCTGATACCACACACATATGTGGGCAGGCATACATATGCACACGTGTACCAACACAGACACACATGAGCACATTTCCCCCTGTCTGCTCAAGAGCACAGAGAAGAGACATCCTGGGAACAGGAAGTCCTGACTCCCACCACTTCCCCTCTCCCCCAGGCTAGTGGCATCATGCTCTCCTCTCCACGGGTGAAGCGGTTGGAGTTCACTCACTGGGCACCACAGCGAAGGCCGGGAGATACTCAGCAGTGAGCAGGGGCACTGGCAGCTTCCGGATGAACCTTTTGAGCAAATCGGATGCGTCGTTGTGATGAACCCCGTCCCAGCTGAAAAGGCCAGCGTAGAAGTCTCTCTCCAGCTGCTGTTCCAGCCCCTGCAGGAAGGAGGGGCCCTGCTAAGAAGCTGGCCCCAGGCTCCAGCTCGAGCTGCTCTATGGCTTCCCTGGGCCTCAGTTTCCTTGTCTGTACCATGTAACCCTATGAGGATTAACTGGCTACGTGAGTCCCTGAGCGTGGGGCTCCACTCGGTAAATGTCCAGACCCCCACCCTCAACCACCGTGCGGTTTTGTGCCGTCTCCACTCTTGGCAACTCTCTTGGAATTCCATGACTCATAGGGAGACCAAAGACAAGACAACAGCAAGCCCCAAAGGGACCCTCTCCCAGCTTAACACGCACCGGCGGGCAAGGGGAAGGGCAGTCTCACCGAGGGGGAGCCAGCCCTTACCTTGACTCTGGCCTGCGATCCGGGCACCCTGAGGATGCCTTCTGCGTCCAGCCCTCTCTTCTCCAAACAGGACAGCAGCTACCAGAGAAAGACACTAACATTTACGTCAGCAGCCATTGAAGAACGCGATGCAAACTGTCTTCTGTGAAATCCAGGAAGAGGAGACCACCAGGAGAAAGGTTTCTTTCAAATAATAATGTTAACTGTTTTTTTATTTTTGGAGAGATTTTCACTGTAGGGCGCGTGCGCTCACCAGACAGACAGAGAGAGACATAGAGACAGAAAGCGAGAAATCACCCCCCAGGGGGGATGGTCACGCCACAATCCCTTCTCCTCCATTCTCCTCTCGGGATCTTGGGCATGCACGCGCACGCGCCCGGCGTGAGTTTTAAGCCACCGGGTCCGGGACACGAACCGCGGTCAACTACGTGGGAGTCCAGCGACATAGCCATTACGCTAACTGCTGGTTCCCATGTTAACTGTTTTGACCATGTCCATAAGCTGAGTATTGTACTGAGAGCTTCATATGCACCTTCATATTTTAAAATAACGTTTATTTCATGAGCGAGAAAGAAAGGGAGAGAGAGAACAAGATTGGGGCCCCCGACAGGGTCTTGTCCTGCTGCAGTCCACCCCAAGACTCCTGGATTGCGAGCATCCCTGGTGTGTTCAGGTTGCCCTGAAAGCCTAAACCCAGGCTTTCCACGCGGCTTCAGCATAGGGCAGTGACACCACTGCAGCGAGCCCACTTTTCTCATTGACTCATTAGTAAGAGAATACAGTCATTACAACCTCACTTTACAGAGTTAGAAGTGAGGGTCACCTAAATTCATAAGTCATTACAACCTCACTTTACAGAATTAGAAGTGAGAGTCACATAAGTTCATAAGTCTGTCTCAGGTCTCTGGACTAGCAAGTGGTGGACATAGAATTTGAACTCAGGCCTCACTGATTCTGAAGTCTACACATCTTTACCCCTGTGCCAGGCATCTCCCAACAGTGGTGCCTGAAACCAGCCTCTCAAGGGCTGAATGAGCCCAAACTGGGGACGACTTACAGCTTGGAGCACAAGCGGGACCCGTGTGCCAGGGAGGACTTTGTGGTCAGCTTCCAGCAGGCTGTCGAGAGGTACACCAAAAAGGCGAGTTTCTGCAGAAAGTCAAAGGGCAGAAGGTGCATTTTGCTTCTGGAATGACAATTGGGCTCCAGCCTTCACAATCTCCTGGGCGACTAGAATCAGGCTCGCTGAGCTCTCTAGAGACATTTGGCTCAACCCAAATGTCTCCACATCTCTTGAGCAGAACATTTGGCCTCAGCAATAATGAAAATGTTAGCTATGTCATGGAGCAAAAAATCTCAGCTGGGTAAAGAGACATTGAAGGAACATTTGCTACTGCCCCAGGGAGCAATACATAACAGCAGTCTAGGGTAGAGGGCAGCTGCAGGGATTGACCAAGACCCTAACAAATGTATTTCCCAGGTCTTTTTTTTTTTTTTTTTTTTTTTAAGAGATTTTTTTCACTATAGGGCGAGTGACACCACTGCAGCGAGCCCACTTTTCTCATTGACTCATTAGTAAGAGAATACAGTCATTACAACCTCACTTTACAGAGTTAGAAGTGAGGGTCACCTAAATTCATAAGTCATTACAACCTCACTTTACAGAATTAGAAGTGAGAGTCACATAAGTTCATAAGTCTGTCTCAGGTCTCTGGACTAGCAAGTGGTGGACATAGAATTTGAACTCAGGCCTCACTGATTCTGAAGTCTACACATCTTTACCCCTGTGCCAGGCATCTCCCAACAGTGGTGCCTGAAACCAGCCTCTCAAGGGCTGAATGAGCCCAAACTGGGGACGACTTACAGCTTGGAGCACAAGCGGGACCCGTGTGCCAGGGAGGACTTTGTGGTCAGCTTCCAGCAGGCTGTCGAGAGGTACACCAAAAAGGCGAGTTTCTGCAGAAAGTCAAAGGGCAGAAGGTGCATTTTGCTTCTGGAATGACAATTGGGCTCCAGCCTTCACAATCTCCTGGGCGACTAGAATCAGGCTCGCTGAGCTCTCTAGAGACATTTGGCTCAACCCAAATGTCTCCACATCTCTTGAGCAGAACATTTGGCCTCAGCAATAATGAAAATGTTAGCTATGTCATGGAGCAAAAAATCTCAGCTGGGTAAAGAGACATTGAAGGAACATTTGCTACTGCCCCAGGGAGCAATACATAACAGCAGTCTAGGGTAGAGGGCAGCTGCAGGGATTGACCAAGACCCTAACAAATGTATTTCCAGGCTTTTTTTTTTTTTTTTTTTTTTTTTAAGAGAGGTTTTTCACTATAGGGCGTGTGCGCTCGCCAGACAGACAGAGAGACAGACAGAGAGACAGAAAGCGAGAAATCACCCCCCAGGGGAGATGGTCACGCCGCAATCCCTTCTCCTCCATTCTCCTCTCGGGATCTTGGGCACGCACGCACACGTGCCCGGCATGAGTTTTAAGCCACCGGGTCCAGGACACGAACCGCGGCTGACTACGTGGGAGTCCAGCAACATAGCCATTACGCTAACTGCTGGTTCCCTTCCCCAGGTCTTTTCAAGCATCCTAGCTTGAGATCTTCTCACGTGAACTCCTTCCATATTTTCTCTATAACTTCTTTTTCTCTTCACCAGCATGCCTTTACCATCCTTCAACCCACTAGGCCCCTTTTGTCTTAAAAAAAAAAAAAGTTACAATGCATAATGCTGACAATGATGCTGTGAGATGAAAACTTTCATAAATTACCCAACGACACTATTTATCAAGAACTTAACCAGCAAGTATATCCTAAAATAACCCAAGACACATTTAAACAGCAATACAATTATGTTTTATAGTAGAAAAACATAAAAATAATAAATGTCCACTAACAAGAAAGTGGTTGAATATATTAGGATACAGCCATAAGGAGGATAGTACTGCGACTAAAGACTGTTTTCAAAGCTGTCATAAACGATACCATTGTTTCAAAGGTGTTACCCTCCTTGTCACATTTACATTGCCATGCAAATTCATAGTTCTTTCCACTAGGGGGCAGAGTGTACCCCTCACCCTGGCTTTGGGCGCCCATGTGAATAATTCGGAGCAATGGCATGATGACCTATGCCATGCCAGCAGGGGCTTAACATGCGCTGCGTGGGAGGTTTTGCTCTCTGTGTTCAGCCACTGCCATGAGAACATGCACCAGATGGCCTCGGCTCCCAGAGGACAAGAAGCCTGTGAAGCAGGATCCAGCCAACAGTTTGGAGCCAAGCCCAGCCTAGATCAGCCATGCAACCCCAGGGTTACCCTCAGGCATGTGAGCAAGAGGAACAGATTACTAAGTCATTGACTATGGGGTTGTTCGTTATGTCGCATTTGCATGGCAGTTGCTGAATACAATAACCGAGACAAGCCGTACTTCTATAATATTAAGTGAAAAAGGATATTTTCGCACATAAGTGGAATTCATTAAAAGTTAATAGGGCTTATATCTGACTTGGCTTATATTTTTTCCTTTTGTGTTTTACTGTTTTCCAAATCTCTTACAATGAGCAGGAATTGTTTCCATATGCAAAATATATAAAATATATACATATGTATATATTTGATAGAAAGTGGACGAATATGGAAGATCTGTTTCTGAGTGAAGCGAGTCAGGCTATGAAAGAGAGACACTGTATGTCTCCCCTTAACATATACCGACTGTCAGCACTCTATGGCAGAGACTGAAAGACTGGAGGGCATACAAACAGTAAAAACTGTTATGGACCCTAGAGCCAGAGTGGAAAGACTGGG